GAAGGGAAGCCCCTTCCGTTTGATATCTTCCCCGCCGAAGGGGGGGGGGTCCCGGGGGGTCCCCGGGGGGGGTTCTCGGAGGGGCCCCCTGGGGGCGGGGGGGCCTCCAAGGGGGGTCCTGGGGGGGAACCTGGGGGGTGCCCTAGAGGGGGGTCCCAGGCGGGGACCTGGGGCCAGCCCTGGGTCAGAATGCGACCCCCCCCAGGGGGGTCCCACAGCCCAAAACCACCCAAGACCAACAAAGACTGCCCCTAGAGGCTCCCAAGACGGTCTCAGAGGATTCCGAATCACCGAACTATCGGTCCAAGACGCCAGTAGCCTCCAGGCGGCCCAGGAGGTTTCCAAGACGCCCCAAGAGGCCTCCAGAGGGCCCCAAGAGGAAAACAAATCATTGATTGTCTGATCATGTCTGATAGATTCTGGGTTTCTCGTCTTCCCGGCTCCCCGACACTCCGAGACGGCCCAAGAGGCCCCCAAGATCGCCCCAAGATAGCCCAAGAGGCCTCCAAGAGGGCCTCAAGACGGCCCAAGAGGCCTCCAAGACGGCCCAAGAGGCCCCCAAGACGCCTCCAAGAGGATGCCCAGACGGGGGGCCCGAATGGATATTTCGAGCCCTCGGCCTGAGAGGCCCCCAGGAGGCGCCACGAAGCCCGCAAGAGGCCCCCAAGAGACCCCCTAGAGGCCCCCCGGGAAGCCCCAAGAGGCCCCCACGAACCTCCCAGCAGGCCCCCAAAGGGCTCCCCAGAGGCCCCAAAACTACCCCCTCGGAGGTCCCTGAGGACTCTGACCCACGTCAGCATCGTCGTCAGCATCGTCGTCAGCATCGTCGTCGTCGTCGTCGTCGCCGTCGTCGTCGTCGTCGTCGTCGTCGTCGCCGTCGTCGTCGTCGTGGTCGTCGTCGTCGTCGCCGTCGCCGTCGCCGTCGTCGTCGTCGTCGTCTTCGTCGTCGCCGCCACCGCCGCCGCCGCCGCCGCCGCCGTCGTCGTCGTCGTCGTCGTCGTCGTCGTCGTCGTCGTCGTCGTCGTCCTCGTCGTCGTCGTCGTCGTCGTCGTCGTCGTCGTCGTCGTCGTCGTCGTCGTCGTCGTCATCGTGGTCGTCGTCGTCGTCGTCGTCGTCGTCGTCGTCGTCGCCGTCGCCGTCGCCGTCGTCGTCGTCGTCGCCGTCGTCGTCGCTCGGGGTCGGCGGCATCGGCCGCAGGGCCTCTCCAACACACGTTTCCTCCAGATCTGAAAGAACGCGCGGGAGCCCCAGGCGACCCCCAAGAGGCACCAAGAGGCCCCCAAGAGGCATCCCCTAAGAAGCCCAAGAGGCCAAGCGACCCACGGGACCGCCAAGGAGCCCCCAAGAGCCCCAGGAGGACTCCAAGAAGCTCTCGAGACATCCGAAGACACTCCGAGGACATCTAACAGGCATCCAAAAAGCAAGTGGTTGTTGTGATCGCCCTCCTCCTCCTCCTCATCATCATCAGCATCATCATCAGCATCATCATCATCAACAACATCCTCATCATCCGCAAAATCAGCATCATCCGCATCATCAGCACCAGCAGCAGCATCACAATCAGCACCAGCATCATCATCATCATCATCATCATCATCATCATCATCATCATCATCATCAGCAGCAGCAGCACCATCATCAAGAGCATCTGCATCAGCATCATCAGCAGCATCATCAGCATGAGCATCAACATCATCACCATCAGCATCATCATGTTCATCCGCCTCATCATCACCTTCATCATCACCATCAGCATCATCAGCAGCATCATCACCATCACTATCATCATCATCATCATCATCATCATCATCATCATGTTCATCATCATCAGCATCATCATCATCAGCATCATCATCATCACCATCCTGCTCCCATTCCTCCTCCATCCTCCCATTTTTGGGGCATGACAACTTCCCCCAACCCCTTATGTCATTGCATGCCCCTCCACCTCCCTGACCAGGGCAGCTCGCCTGGGCACCGTTTCTGGATGGGCTGATGGGGCTACTGTTTAGTCAGCGGCCGCAAGCGAGCGCGCCAGCGGCGAGTCCAGCAGAGGCGGGGCACGCAACCACGAATTAGCCTAAAGCGACGGGGCGCAGCCACACCTAAAGCGGCGGACAGAGCCTCACGCAGCACCCCGGCGGCGAGCCGGCGAGTGGAAGGGGCTGGCGGTAAGCTGAAACAGCACTGCCAAGGTGCAGGTATGCAACGCGTCGAAAGCTGCAGGTAGACGGGGGGGCCGTCGACCAGGGTCAGCAGCAGACGTGGAATTAGATGCAAGGGCGGAAGCCCCCTGACAACTGCAAAGGTACCAGGGTGGCCGCAGCGAATGGGTGCCCTGTAAACCGACTGTCGATGTCGAATTGGGTGCCCCGAGGGGACTCAAGCGTTGGCAAGCTGCGAAGCACCAGGGTGGCCGGGGCCAGGAGGTCCAACAACAGCAGAATGCACAAGGAAAGGAGCAGCCAAGCTGCAGCGCGACCAAGAGCGCGATCCGCGGTCGGCGCGCCAAGGGCGGCGACAAAACGCGGACGGACGGCGCGGGGGTGAACACCGGCACAGCAGCCGAGGTCGCGGCCGCGGCGCTGGGGGGCCACGAAGG